TTTTGTTACATTTCTATTGAGTTTTGTCTATGCTTCTCTTTCATGTAGTAGAAATAGTGCTGTGGTGAATATCTTTATGTTGAAATTTTTCTATAATCGCCTTAAGATAGAATCTTAATTGTTGGATCAAAGGAAGTGAACATTTTTAAACCTCTTGATACGTATTACCAAATTGTTTTTCAGAAAGGTTTTATCCTTCCCAGCAGTGTGAAGTCTCTGTCTAATGTGTTATTAGCACTGAGTATTGAAATTAAGTTATTTTTATTAATTTGATAGGCAAAAAATAATTGTCCATTGTTTTTAACTTGTATGTTTTAAACAAAATTTCTAGTAAAGTAGAACATTTCTTTGATGTGTTTGTGCTCAGGATTGGACTTTCCAAGGTCTTGGAGAGGCTTTCTGATAGGGCCCGGGTGGCCATCTGCACTGTGAGGTCTTTGGGCGTCATTTCTAGTTACAGGTTAAATTCACTATGTCAGCTGATGGGATGAGAAGTTTCAGGCCCAGTCTTCTTGGAAAGCTCCCAAAAGAGAAGCAGCTTAGAAAATAGGACTTGAACAGTGAAGTGGGTTGAGTTTGAAAAATTCATCCCAGGTTGGTGGAATCAGAGGTGGGAAGAGGTTCTAGAAGTCACCTGGTCTCACTGGTTTCCAAGCCATGCTTCTCAGAACTTTCCTATTCTGTAAAGGAGCTTCGTGGGCCCCTTGAGGAAAAACGAGAATAGAGGCTACTGTGTTAAAAAGGGCACCCTGTGTTTCTGCACTTTACATATTGATGGGCAGCATATGACCACGTTTGGAAAAGGGTTTCTGCTTCTCAGGGGCTGGAAACCCCATCCAACCGCCCGAGTCCCCCAGAGCCTAGAGAATGGGCCGTAGCTGCCCCACAGTCACCAAGTGGCCTTCATCTCCACTAGGGACAGCAGAGGGAGGACAGCCATTATACTAGCGAGGATTGAAGGGTGGCCTGCCAAGATCAGGCCAAGCCGTAACAGATTTCAGTAGGTTTGGAGGGATGAAATGGGTGTTTCACGTGTTGGCAAGTTGAAAATGGCTCAGCCTGAGTTGAATACCTATTGAAAATCGCACTCAGGGCCTTCTTCCAAAGGCCATGACTGTAGCGGGGTCCGTGTGTGGCTCTCTCAGCCCAAGGCTCGCAACTGGGCAAGGTGATTTCCACTCAGATTCTTGTGCCAGTTCAGATCTTGTCCTAAAGCTTTTCTAAGTCCTCTGTGAATAAAAAGACTCTTGGACGCATGTCACTTTTTTTGTTGTGGTTGAAAATTTCTCTCCAATAGAACAGCATTCCTCAGTGCCTCAGCCGTGGTGCTGTGGACAAGGATTTGCAGCTAGGTCTGATAAGACGATGCAAGGGCAAAGGAGGATGGTGTTTTCCCTGGTCAGAGTTGTTGATATTTAAACAAACAAACAAACAAACTTTGATTCAATTGTAAAAATGAATATGACCATTGTAGAAGATTTGCAAGTACAGAAAGAGGTAAAGGAAAACAGTCCATAATTCTAGCATTCCAGTTATATTTCAGTGTTATTCTTTCAGCGTCTTTAAAATTAGCTTATGTAAAATAGAAAAAACGTAGCCTTTGTGGTTTGGATAAATACTTAGTTTCTTTGGGCCTTAGTTCCCTTGTATGTAAAATAAGAATAATTCCTACCTTTGAGGGTAGTTGAGGATTGAGAGAACTAGATGACAGAAACACCAAGCAGAGTGCCTGTCACATAGGTGGTGCTTGGTAAGTGGCACACCCACCCACCGAGAGCTTAGTATGTGTGCGGTTACATGTCCGTAAGCCTTTCTTAGACATTTTTAAAGACTGATTTGTATTCCATCATTAGGATGTTCTATACATTATATAAGAATTGTATTATCGTAAGGTGTTTAGGTTGCTTCCAGATTGAGGCTTTTTTCCATGGACAATCATAATAGTAATAATTTTCATAATTAGGCACACCCTAAATAGCCCCCATCATTAGGAGCTGAAACAAATTAGGTTTTTGAACTTCAGCTTAGTAATGGCTGAGGCTGTTGCAGAGAATGGGTGCACTGACACGCTGTTGTATTGTGCATAATTGCTGAGTTCAAGTGGAATGCCAGTGGGCGTTTCTGGGCAGCAACTCAAATGTGCCTGTGCCCCTGGAGCAGAAGGTTCTCCCCTCCTTAGTCCTCTGGTGTTTCAGACCCTCTGGGATGTTGGGCATCTGAAGAGCTGCAGCCCCAGCTCTCTCTCAGGGAGTTCCTGTTCCAGTGCAACCAGTAAATGCAGTTGCGTTTGGAGAAGAGACCTGTGTGGTGAAGACACACAGGAGGGTGGAGTCAGCCCTCTCTGGTGAGGGTGTGGGGCCCAGGGCGCAGGAGAGGATGGCCGTGGTTGGGTCTGGAAGGATGGGTACTGGGGCTTGTATGGAGGGAGGGAATCTGGACCTCTGCACCAGCAGGATCAATAGCTACAGGGTGGGAAATGGTCTGGAATGTTCTGGGACTTGCTAGAATTGGATGTTTTTGGACATATAAGGTACCAAAGGTGGAGGGCTTGGTATGAGTGAGACAGTGGTTGGTCATGAAGGGGTTGTGTGCTGTGTCATTTCCTCTGGGGTCTCTAGTACTCCGACAAGGCCTGGACCCATGGTGGGCCCTCGCTCTGGAGGCTGCACATCTTCATGGAAAGCTTTAGCTGAAGTTCTTGACTGTATTTCTCAGGCTGCTTCGTGGAGCTCTGTAAGTTGGTTCATCTGGGGCTGTATGGACATGCTGGGATACACCCTGTGTGGTGAAGATAAGGGAGGCCCCAGCTGCCTGCGGGCTGAGTGACACCTCAGGAGTAATTGGCTTGGAAACCAGTCCTCTGATTTGTACCTTGATGTGGGTACAGAAACTTCTAATTGCAGACAGTGAGCTAAGCCAGCCAGCCCACCCGAGGGCACCCCAGGTCTAACCCTCCAGGGCGGGATGTGGGCTTTTGTGGAGGAGTGGGCAGGCCTGGCCTGTGCAGGTGCATGCAGAGTTACCGCAGGCCTGACTCACCTTTGTTCCCATGCTGTGTACTCAGCGCCGCCCTTTGCCATCATTCCTCACCCAGACTTGAGGGATGGGTGGGTGCTGGGCATGAGGGGGTGGGAAGGGAAGGGAGGCCAACATTTGTGGAGTGTCTGCTGTGTGCCTGATGTTGGGTGGGTGCTTTATACATACCTGTCTGCCTTAATCCCCGTGAAAAGCACTTAGGAGAAATGTTGATATCTCCATTTTCCGAAAGAAAATGAGCTGGGAAAGCTTGGGTACTTTGATTAAGACAGTAGGAAGAGTACACAGCATGTTGATGCCAGAGCCCGTGCCTGCTCCGTTTCACGGGCTGCTGCAGATTTGTCTGCCTTGTAAGGCAGCTGGCCTTGCCCTTCTCATTGAAACCTTCATGGCGTAGTTCAGTCTAAGGGATAGCAGTGGAAACCCAGGGCCCCAGCCTTGTCACTAGCCTTATGATTGTGAGCAAGTCACTGCAGCTACTGGGTCTTAGTTTCCACATCTGCCAAATGGGCATAAAATATTATGTGTGTACTTACAGGGGTGGTTGTAGGAATGAGAAGATCACATGAGTGGCACCCCCATAAGCCCAGAGCCCTGCACAGCCCTGATAGGCGTGCCGTAGCAACCGAGGATGCGTAGTGCTGAAGACGTGGGTCCCTCTCTCCCTTCCTCCTCCCTAAGTAAGGCCTGTGACTGAAGCCCAAGGCAGAGGTCGGGCTGAGCCTTCCTCTCAGAAAATGGGCCTCGGAGCCACATTGATCTGGGTTTGTTTTCTGTGCCACCACTTTCAGTATATGTGTGACCTTAAATAAGTCCCTTGACCTCTTTGAGCCTTGGTTTCCTATCCATAAAGTAGGAGAAGTGTCACCTTGTCAATCTGTTAGGCTTAAAAGAGACAAGAACGTTTGGCGTTTGTCACTAAGTGTTGGACCCTGTTCTTGTACTCCAAGAGCTGGTGCGCGGGGCGCCATCTGGCGCGTTTGCAGACCTTCTCATTCAGACACTGCGGTGCGGGTAGAATCATCTTCTATGCTCATAAGCCAGGTTCTAAAGTCGTCTACATCGAGCAGGGCATGTCCTGTGCTGGGCGCCGACACTACAGCAGTGAACAAGGGAGGCTTGCAGGGTTGCTGCCATCTCGTAGGACAAAGACACGGAACCCACATGTGTGTGTAGGTGATCTTTAGGGTTCTGGTTGGTGCTGGGAAGAGCGCAGAGGGCCATGAGTGTGTGTGATGGGTGTGATGAGGGTGTGTGATGGGACAAACCTTCCTGAGGACACAGGCTGAGTCTAAGGATGCAGAGTGTTCGTGAGAGAGGAGGGGGGCTGCGGGGAGCCCTAGACGTGGGGAAGAGCTCTCTGGACCTGGTGGCTGGTCAGCAAGGCCCAGGCATAGGGAATGGAGTGCAGAGAGGCCGGAGCGGGGGTGTTCATTGTTTATCTAGCGCTTCCCCTGAGGTCATGAGGCTTACAGGACACCTAGGAGACACAGGGGAGCCAGGCCCTGTGTGTCAAGGCCAGCTCTGCCACTGTCCCCTGGGTGTCTTTAAGCTGCTGGTCCTTTCTGAGACACAGTGTTTTCTCCTCTGTATAGGAGAGTAGGTGTTAATACTACAAACCTCACAAACAAACCTGCTTTGGAAACTGGAGAGTGTGAAAGGATAAACTAGGTAGTTGGGTGAGAGGGACGTTATTGGTAATGAGATAGAAGCTGGGCTAATGATTAGCACCTGGAATTTACTGTATCACCCTGAACGTTTGCAGAGGTAGGTAGGCTGCAGGATTGACTTTGAACTCTTTCTGGCTGCCAGAGCAAAGGGACGGGATCAGGTACTTGATTTGTGATGCTCCTAAGGTATTGGGGAAAAGCAGCTGTGGAAAGCATGACTCCCCTGCGCTGAGGCTGCCTCTGGCAGGGCTGCTGGTGCGTGTGGCTGACTGCTGCCCTCTCTCCTGTTCACAGGTCTGCCAGAGGCGCTGGGCGATGAACCGAAGACTCCAGGCCAGAGTGGTCTGAGCCATTCGAGAAAGCAGAGAGAGTCCTGGGGAAGATGGCCATGGCCCCCAGCCCTTCCCTGGCGCAGGTATACACCAGCCCTGTGGCAGTGGCCGTGTGGGAATGGCAGGACGCGCTGGGCATCTGGCACCCCTACAGCGCCACTGTCTGCAGCTACATCGAGCAGCAGTTTGTCCAGCAGAAGGGCCAGCGCTTTGGGTTCGGGAGCTTGGCCCACAGCATCCCCTTAGGCCAGGCTGACCCCTCACTGGCCCCGTACATCATCGACCTGCCCAGCTGGACCCAGTTTCGCCAGGACACTGGTAAGACACTTCCTGCCTCTAGCACACATCTGGGCACCTGCTTTGGGCCAGGCACTGTAAGAGGTATTGGCTTTACTGAAGTGACTTGCAAAGCTTTCTCCCTGCTCCTGAAATGCATGATGGGAGGTGGATGCTGTGAGTGAGAACAGCCACCTCACAGGGCGAGTGTACCGTGTAGTAGGAGTAGTGCTGTGGGAGCACATTGGCAGAGGCCCTCCCACCCCTTTCCCCTTGTCTCCCAAACCAAAAATGCCTGCCTCGACCTGCAGAGACTCACGGGTCTCTCTGCTAGGCAGGCTAACACAGAGGTGGCTCCATGGTTATTCAGATGATCTGGCTCTACTGCTCAACAGCTGTGTGAACTGGGCAGGCTGCTGTACTCTTCCGTGCATTTGTGTGTTTGGTTTTTTGTTCTGCACTGTGTTTTGATCAGTATTATCAAGAATGGGCCACCAACTACCTACTGTAATCTATCAGCAGCATCCTAGAGTCTGTGAAAAGTATGGCTCCCAGGTAGCTGGATGCAGATGAAATTCCTTGCCTTCATGGTGTGTGCAGTCAGCCGAGAAAGACAGCATACGGGATAAATAACACGGAAATTGTGAATTTTTTTTTTTTTTTTTTTTTTGAGACAGTCTCACTGTGTTGCCCAGGCTGGAGTGCCGTGGCGTCATCCTAGCTCACAGCAACCTCAAACTCCTGGGCTCAAGCAATCCTTCTACTTCAGCCTCCCGAGTAGTTGGTACTACAGGCATGCGCCACCATACCCGGCTAATTTTTTCTATATATTTTTAGTTGTCCAGTTAATTTCTTTTTATTTTTAGTAGAGACAGTGTCTTGCTCTTGCTCAGCCTGGTTTCGAACTCCTGACCTCGAGCAATCCTCCTGCCTCACCCTCCCAGAGTGCTAGGATTACAGGCGTGAGCCACCATGCCTGGCCAGAAATTGTGTATTTTGGTGGAGAGCAATAAATGTTAATCAGGGAAGGGAGGTGTCAAGTGTTGATAGGGGTTGATTTGAAGGTTGAGCTAAAGTGACAAGGTCACTGAGAAGGGACAATGACAGACCTGATAGAAGGGCAGGACAGAGCCCAGGTTCTTTGGGGGTGGGGTTTAGTCAATAGAAGGGGCCTTGGCTTTTATTCTGAAAGGGGCGCCACAGAAGGGGTTGGGCAGAAAAGTGCCATTATCTGTTTTGGGAGCTAAGAGTGTCCCCCACGCTGCTGTGGCTGGAGGCAAGGGCTGAGGTTGGGAGAGCAGTGAGAAGGTAATTGCAGTAATCCATCTTTTGGCAAGCACTATTGAAAGTGTAGACCAAATTGATTTTTTTCTTTTTCTCCTTAATCTTTAGATTTGGTTTGTTAAGCTTAGGGTCACATGCAGTGGCTCATGCCTGTTATCCCAGCACTCAGGGAGGCCAAAGCAGGAGTTTGAGACCAGCCTGAGCCAAGAGCGAAACCCCGTCTCTACAAAAAATAGAAAAATTAGCTGGGCGTGGTGGCACATGCCTGTAGTCCCAGCTCCTTGGAAGGCTGAGACAGGAGACTCCCTCGAGCCCAGGAGTTACGAGGTTGCAGTGAGCTATGATCACACCGCTGCACTCTAGCCCAGGCGACAGAGTGAGACCCTGACTCATAAATAAATAAATAAATAAATGAATGAATATAAGGTAAAGATAGGGTGTTTCACAATAGTTGCAACTTGAGAAGTCAAAGAGGCTGGTACATCCATATAAGAGAATTATGTAACAATAGTTTTATTTTTGCTTATGGCATCATACAAGAAAATAGCAGGAAACATTTTCATTCTGTTAGCTCCTTAAATACACATGCCTAGAAGACTAGGTGGGAAGAAATGCATCGCAATGTAAATTGTGGGCTTTCCTCTTGGTGGCTGGATTGAGATCGTTTAATTTTTTTTATACTTTTTTGTTCAATTTTTTAAAGTAAGGCTACATATACTCGTTATTAGAAATATTATTTGAAAAGTCTCCTCAAGTCTGAGCCATATTCTTTGGCCTAAGCTTCCGACATCCCCTCCTGCCAAGGAGTGTGGGTCTGCCTCTGCCACTTCATCCTTCTGGGCCACAGTTTATTTGCCTAGAATGTCTGTACTTTACCCCCAAATCTGGAAAGGAGAGCCAGTGCCAGCCCTTAGATGAAATAGCAGCATGACCATAGACCTACAGTGATCATATTTGCTTATTTTTTTTTTTTTTTTTTTTGAGACAGAGTCTCACTCTTTTGCCCGGGCTAGAGTGAGTGCTGTGGCGTCAGCCTAGCTCACAGCAACCTCAATCTCCTGGGATCAAGCAATCCTTCTGCCTCAGCCTCCCAAGTAGCTGGGACTACAGGCATGCGCCACTATGCCCGGCTAATTTTTTCTATATATTTTTAGTTGTCCGATTAATTTCTTTCTATTTTTAGTAGAGACGGGGTCTCGCTCTTGCTCAGGCTGGTTTCAAACTCCTGAGCTCAAACAATCCGCCCGCCTTGGCCTCCCAGAGTGCTAGGATTACAGGCGTGAGCCACCGCCCCCGGCCTCATATTTGCTTATTTTTGTTGTTGAAAAAAGAATTTGAAAATCCCTTGTGTTTTGGGGGGTCTAGTAGATTAACTATGTGAAATACTCCTTTTAAAACAGGCACCATGCGGGCTGTGCGGAGGCACTTGTTCCCCCAGCACTCCGCCCCCGGCCGGGGAATCATCTGGGAGTGGCTGAGTGATGATGGCACCTGGACTGCCTATGAAGCCAGCATCTGTGATTATCTGGAGCAGCAAGTGGCCAGGGGCAACCAGCTTGTGGACTTGGCTCCCCTGGGGTACAACTACACCGTTAACTACGCCACACAAACGCAAACCAACAAGACTTCCAGCTTCTGCCGTAGCGTGCGGCGCCAGACAGGGCCCCCTTACCCAGTGACCACCGTCATCGCTCCACCAGGCCACACGGGAGTTGCCTGCTCTTGCCACCAGTGCCTCAGCGGCAGTGGAACTGGCCCTGTGTCTGGCCGCTACCGCCACTCCATGACCAACCTCCCTGCGTACCCTGTCCCTCAGCACCCCCACAGGACTGCTGTTGTTTATGGGGCCCACCAGGCCTTTGCCCCATACAACAAACCTTCCCTCTCTGGGGCTAGGTCTGCACCCAGGCTGAATACCACCAACCCCTGGGGTGGGGCCCCTCCCACCTTGGGGAGCCAGCCCCTCTACCGCTCCAGCTTCTCCCATCTGGGACTGCAGTACCTGCCCCCAGGACCATCCACTTCCAGTGCAGCCAGGTATTGTGTGTCCCTGCTGGGCATATTGTCTGCCCATGTGCCCTGTCAGCAGGCTGGGCTTTCTGCTCTTACGCAGCTGGGAAGACTCACCCAAATACCTGCAGCCCGGGCACCTGCCCCCTTGGTTGTTCCTGCCATGTCATCCCATTTGTGTGTGCCACATAGGTGCTGAGGTATCGTGGCCATCCCCAGCCCTGTGTCCCCCAGAGTCTTACTTGATCTCTGGTACTCAAGTCCTGGTAGTCACCACACAGGTGAAAATCTACAATCCTTTTGTTCCTTATGATGATAGGGACCTCTGTGTGGAGCAAAGTTAAAGACTTTTTGCTTATGCACGTGGCTGGTGCTGTGCCTGATAACACGTCATTGACTCCTGCTCTGTGCCAGGCACTGAAGATGCAGAGATGAAAGCTACAGCTCCTACCCCTAAGCACACAGTCTAGTACAGAAAAGGGCTGTGAACACTGTGAGGACAGTGCAAAATATTGGGTCTGTGGCAGGTGGCCACAGGTGGCATAGGTGACCTAGCCCAGCCCAGAGTGTCTTGTAGAGCTTTCGGCTCCTTGAGAAAGATGATGAAATCATGGGCCCATTCCAGACCAGGTGGCATGTAAAGTGAGAAAATCCCCTGGATTTGGCCAGTGGGTGAACATCCCCAGCTTGGTCATAGACCGGCGACTGGTCCAGCTGACCAGGGGACTTCATTGTTCCTCATCATTGAGAGTGTTGGGCTTAGCATTTTAAGAATTCAGAGTGATAGCTGGGGTGGGGCTGTTTTCTGAGAGTACCCTGCGGGGGTTGTGATGGAGCATGTGGGCCTGTGGCTGCCCTGGTTTCCAGGGAGAACGTCCTGTTGATTGGGACTGACAACGGCCAGTCAGAGTCTCACTGCCGCCTTGCTCACCGGTCCCCTCCATGCCCACTGCCCCATGTTGAGGGCTAAAGCTTCCCACTGTGACTGAGACCTCCTGGCAGCTTCTTGGGCCTTTAGTATTTGTTCAAATTGGGTTTCCGAGGACCCTGCCAGCTTGTTTAAGACACAGAGCAACTCCCATTCTTGAGCACACATTATATGCCAGGCCCTATTGAGCGGGTGCATGAGTGCTTTCACTAATGCTCTTGTGGTCTTAAGGTGGGTAGTGTCCTCAACTTACAGGTGAGACACTGAGGTGGCCATGCAGCCAGCAAGTGGCAGAGCTGAGATTAAACCCAGGCCCCAAGAGTGGGACATGATGGGGAAGGGGAAGGTATCTTGAGGGACTCTGGAGGATTCTGGTAGATGGGGGGTGATGGGCCTTGGATGGATCAGGGTTTTTTCTGGGCATATTCTCCTTGCAGGAGTCAGGACATGTGGATCTGAGGTCTTCCAGGGAATTGGAGTACGGGGAAGTGTCATTTGGTCCCTCTGTGGACTTTCATGTAGACATAAGCAGGGCTCAGGGAGGTGCTCTCCCCACCTTCCATCCTCAATATGGGGATCCATATCGTTCTCATCCAGAGAGCAGTGTGCTGTCTGCCAGTCCAGAATGGTTATTGGCAGTGCTGGAACTTCTGTGGGATCTGCCTCACCCAGCCTCCCAGGGCTTCTTAAGTTCTTATGAATTTTTTTTTTTTTTTTTGAGACAGAGTCTCACTCTGTTGCCCTGGCTAGAGTGAGTGCCGTGGCGTCAGCCTAGCTCACAGCAACCTCACACTCCTGGGCTCAAGCGATCCTTCTGTCTCAGCCTCCCGAGTAGCTGGGACTACAGGCATGCGCCACCATGCCCGGCTAATTTTTTCTATATATTTTTAGTTGTCCGATTAATTTCTTTCTATTTTTAGTAGAGACGGGGTCTCGCTCTTGCTCAGGCTGGTTTCGAACTCTTGAGCTCGCTCAATCCACCTGCCTTGGCCTCCCAGAGTGCTAGGATTACAGGCGTGAGCCACCACGCCTGGCCTCTTATGAATTATTTTGAGACACATTTCTAGATAGTGCTAGAACTGGGATTCTGGGACTAAGTCAAGTGATTTAGCTGGGCATGGTGGGTGAGGCGGGAGGATCCTTTGAGCCCAAGAGTGAGACTGCAGTGAGCTGTTATCACACCACTGCCCTCCAGCCTGGGCGACAGAGTAAGACTCTGTCTCAAAAAAAAAAAAAAAAAAGGCCATTCAAGGGGACTTTGTTTCTTTTTTCTGGTATGAGGCTGCCGTTGGTCTCCCCTAAACCATCTCTCCCCCGAGTATTTTTCTCTGGGGTCTCTCTTCCCCAGCCTGATGTGGGCCCTACTGGTGCAGGCCAGGCAAGTTACAGAAAGGAAGGTGGCTGGCCCCACAGGTGCTGCCGCTTGCCCCTGCTCTTGCCCTGTGTGTGAGCCAGGAGGGAACTGAGCCAGCCAGCTTTGTTAGTTAAAACAACCTCAAAGGGGCCTGCCTCCTGGGCTGGGTGTGAGGCCGTATTCCTCTGGCTTTTCTGGAGCTGGGAGGGGTATAATTCATTTGCATGGGCCTAGCCAGGGTTTTCCCATGCCTGATTTGTAGTGTGGCCCTCCTGAGTTAACCCTCCTCTGATGTTTGTAGAGCCACAGGGGGCTTAATAAATACCTGACCTTTTAACCTGGCAGGTGCTGGGAGAATTGAAAACACTTGGCACCTTGTTCACCCTAGGGGCTGTGGTAAAGTCCTGAAAGCCAAATGAATATGTCCACATCATTAGGTGAAAGTTAGCATGTATGCGAGGGAGAAAGCTGGGGCTAGGCAGTGCAGGTCTGAGGAAGCCCAAGAACCAGTTCCCTTTACTGGTAGGCATGGGAAATAGCATTTGAGCAAGTGAAATCAAGAAATTTTGGGGAACCCATGTGTGTTTGGTTTTTTGTTCTGCACTGTGTTTTGATCAGTATTATCAAGAATGGGCCACCAACTACCTACTGTAATCTATCAGCAGCATCCTAG